CCAATGTGCCTATGTATCTCATATGTATTCTGATCCTCCCCCAGCAAAGGGAGAAATTTGTGTAATGGAAAATTATTTTGGTAGGGCTGTGTTTTTTTTTATTAGTGCATCAAAAACAGGGAGGCTGGGAGAATTTGAAAGAAAAGACTAGTGAAAAATCCACTAAATAGCTTGCATACATGAAGGGTGTTGTCATCAAAAAAGAGATGAGAATTAGAGATGATAAAACTAGATGGAAGAACAAATGGATAGCTTCTTCCTAGTAATGAGATCATTTTAGATAATGAAGGGGCAGCTTTCACTGTTTTCTGACAGATTGCTCTGCTTGTCCTCCACTCTAGTTACAAATGGCAAGTGGAGGGCATGCTGCTCTCCTTAGAATGATTTCTCCCAGAATCTACAGAGAAGCAGGCTCTCAGAGTTTCAGGGAACAAAGCCACGAGTAAGAGGCAGGGAAACTAAGGGGTGCCTCAGTCTCCCTCTGAATACTTAAAGCAGCAGCAGAGTATATCTTTGTACTTGCATCTACTCACGTTTGCCCAGAGCAATGGTAGGTCTAGCTAACAGCTTCTACAAGAGCTGTGCTGCCATATGGCCACTGTGAAGAGGGTAGCTAAAGCAGTAGCACAGAGGAACCAAACCTCGGTGGGGCCAGGTGATCTCTTTTCTTGCAGATCTAAGCCTGAGAGGTCACATCACCTGCCTCTCCTACATCGCTAATCCTCATTCAGCCACCCTAACTTCAAGATTTTCCAGGACACTACATAAGATGTACAATAATCTGTTGCCCTGTCTACACTATCTCTGTAGGAACTTACAAGTTTAATAGCTTCAAAATTCAATAGCTTTCATGATTCAACGCGAGCCTGAAAATTCTGTACTTGATAAAATCTTTTCATGTGTCAGTTCAAAAACTAGCCTATACACTAAGGATGTTAGATAGTACACTCCCGGCCTTACTCCAGGGAGGCCCCTGCTACCCAGCGCTGCTGTTCCATGGCAGCTGCTGCTGTCTGCGGGGAGCTTCGACCACTGCTGACAGAGGCTGCTTTGCAGCAGCTTCTCCTGCCCCACTCCTCCACACTGCTGCCTCTAAGGAGAGGCAGGCAAGTCCTCAAAGCTGGCACACAGAGCTAGCACATGCAGGGAGCCTGCTTAAAAGCTGGTTCTCCACTGGTATTAGCTTCCATCTGCCCAACTCACCCTCTGCACTGCTGCCTAACAAAGGCAGCAGCACCGGGAGTGGGGGGGACAGAGGTGGATCTGATGCTCAGAGAGATCTGGCTTTTAAGCCAGCCTCTCTCAGGCACCGGCTCCCGTCCTCCTTTGCTGCCTCTGATACAGAGACAGCAAGGCAGGCGGAGGGAGGGGGTGATGCATGTAGTTGACAAGATTAACCAATAAGCCCAGGCTTATCTATTAATTGTGTAGTTGTCTACTCACTGACATACCTATTACACACCATTATAGGACAGGAACACTAATGCGAATAACTCAAATCCCCAGGAAACACCAAGGTATTCAGAACTATACAAGAGCAACTTTACCAAAGCTCCACTCAATCAGAAAATGCATGAAACTCATGAATACATGATTTTATAAACACAAAGATACAGGAAAGCTAAAGCATACTATGAGATCTATTGCATAGAGTTAAGTCTTAAGTTCATAATGGAACACGTGTATTTGAGTTTCTTATTCAACTAATTTCTCCAGTCACAGAAGTGAAAGGTGTTATGGAAGTTTTCTAGGAACATTCCCAGAGGATTGCACTGCAAACAGAGTATGTTGTTTAAAAACATTAAGCTGGCCATATGGTCACATGTTAGTATATCAGCATTTCAGAAAAGCTCTTAACTGCCCATGAAAACTTGTAACACTGAGGGGATTCCCAGCAAATCCTGTGATGCACTAGCTGACTGACTTAAATCTGTAGTCAGGCAGCTAAGGAAAATTAAGGGTCAGGACCAAACTTTCTCCTCAACACATCAAAAGATAGAAATGAGAGAAAAAGACAACTCTCTCAGGGCATGTCTGCATAGCAGTGTTATTGCAACACATAACATGTCTACACAGCAAGCCATTATTTTGAAATAACGGTGAGCTGGAGGATTTCTTACTCTGACTCCTGCAAACCTCATTTCATAAGGAGTAAGGGAATTTGAAGGAAGAGTGTTCTTCTTTTGGCTTCCTGCTGTATAGACAGTACCAAAAGCCAAATTCAGCTATTTCAACTTCAGCTACACAATTACCATAGCTGAAGTTGTGCAGCTTAATTCAACTTTCATGCTGCTGTGTAGACATGCCCTCAGAAGAAACCTTCTCCACCAATTAACAGGACAGGATCACTTTCAGATTGCTACCCTTTCCTGCTTCTCAATGTAGGAACTAACAATACGGCCAAGAATGACCTTGAGTAGGTCACTGCAGATTATGTAGCACTGGGAAGAATGATCAAGGAATTTGAAGCACAAGTGGTGTTCTCGTCCATCCTTCCAGTTGAAGGAAAAGATCCGGGTAGGGATCATCGAATTGAGGAAGTAAATGTGTGGTTGCGCAGATAGTGTTGGAGAGAGGGTTTTGGTTTCTTCGACCATGGTACTCTGTTCCAGGCACAAGGATTGCTAGGAAGAGATGGGATCCACCTAACCAAGAGAGGAAAGAGCATCTTTCCGAGCAGGCTTGCAAACCTCATGAGGAGGACTTTAAACTAGGTTGGTTGGAGGATGGTGACCAAAACCCAGAAGTAAGTGAGGAAGTCGGCTACCGGGAAGAAATACAAGGAGGACCTCTGACTCGAACAGAGAAGGTAGGGTGATCAACTGGTTATCTAGGGTGTGTGTACATAAATATGAGAAGCCTGGGGAACAAACAGGAAGGATTAGAAGCTCTGGCCCAGTCAAAGAACTATGATTTGATTGGAATAATGGAGACTTGGTGGCATGACTCGCATGATTGGAGCACTGTCATGGAAGGGTATAAACTGTTCAGGAAGAATAGGCAGGGGAGAAAAGGAGGAGGAGTTGCATTGTACGTAAGAGAGCAGTATGACTGCTTGGAGCTCCAGTATATAGAGGGTGAAAAGACTGTTGAGAGTCTATGGGTAAAGTTTAGAGGTGGAAGCAACAGGGGTTGATTTTGATGTTGTGGTTGGTGTCTGCTAAAGACCGCTGGATCAAGTGGATGACGTAGACCTTTTCAACATCAAAATTATCTCTTCCAGTTAGCAACTCTGACCTTGTTAGTATCAATTCAGCTTAAATTCCAACTTACAAATACACTGTAAAAATAACCAATAGTCCTGTGGCACCTTACAGACTAACAAAATTGTGTATGTATCATGAGCCTTTGTGGGCAAAACACACTTCTTCAGATGAGATGATCTTCAAATGATAATCATATCTGAAGAAGTGGGTTTTGCCTACGAAGGCTCATGATACTATATATATTTTGTCTCGCAGGTGCTACAGGATTACTCGTTTTTAACATTACAGACTAGCACAGCTACCCCTCTGAGACTATAAAAATAGTTTATATAAGTTACAGTATATTGCATTTTTACCTGGAAGTAGGGACTATAACTAGGAACACTTCTTTCAATTAAAAAAAGTGCTAATGCCCTATGTAACTGCTTATTTTAAAAAGAATTTTAAAAGAAACAAATATAGAAAAATACTGTTAAAAGGATTTCTTAACTGTCTCATTTACATCCACATAGTTGTGTTAATTAAGATTCATTTACTGACAAAACAGTAACTCTCACCTATTGATTCTGATAGCCTAACCATGGTCACCAAGACCATATGAGTTTTACACACCATTTACATGTTGTTCATAATGACTAGCCAACTGGAGTGAGCCTTCCTCCTCCAAAAATTGTCTTTTCTATTCCAGCTTTTCATAACTGCCTCTACGGCTGAAGATCAAAATAGCTTAACTCAGTGGTGGGCAATGGGCCGCCTGCGGACCCCCTCTCTGCTCTCCTCCCCCCTGTACTCCTTGCGCACTGAGCACCGCGTGCGCGCACATGCACACGCACACGCACACACAGCACTTTTGGAGCATGCGAATCACCAGACTCGTGCTGTCCCACTCCTCCCTCTGCCTCCCAGAGCTTGAACAGCCACAAACAGTTGATTTGCGGAAGTTTCAGTTCTGGGAGGGGGAGGAGTGGGGACAGAGTGCAAGTCAGGTGGTTTGCATGCTCCAAAATTTGTGAGAGGATGGGGGAGGTGCAGAAAGTGTGGGCTCTGGTGCCCAGTGCACAAGAGGTGCATGGGGGAGGGGAGTAGATGGGGGGACGGATGCAGGGCTGCAGGTGGAATCCCAGAGGGCCATACACGTGGTTCGCTCATTTTTGGTTGCCCATCACTGGCTTAGATGCTCTTGCTTCTAGAATGTGCTCATGGAAGCATTAGATCCTGGACATTTATAAACCATATGCAGCTGAACTAGCACTTTGCAATATGACTATATTCCTTGTTCATCACCCCTAAACTTGTAACCCAACAGGCGCTGGCATTTTTGTGTGTTGCACAAGCTTTGCTTAGCATACAGTGCAACAATTCAATAAGATTTACCTAAGAACATAGAACATTACTTCTATGTGCATGTGCATGTGAGGAAAAGCTCTGCAAAATACCAAACTACAAAATTACTAGTTAAAGTTTTATCATCCAACAGAATTAGAAGCCAATGCCAGAAATGAAGACACTTATGCAAAGCATTCACGCAGAGACAACTGAAAAGAATCCAGCATACAAACATCTAATTTGAGGTAACATTCAGAACATTTAGGTGAACAATAAAGTGGAAATATTATACGAGGAGTCCTGCTGTTGTGGCCTTCAAAATTGATTTGTTATAAGAGATTCTTAGATGCTGCTGCTAGGTTTGATACCAAATCTCCACTAATTATACACATTTACTTTAAAGGGTTTTTTTATATTAATGATAGGGAATACCTACAGTTCTTATGAAAAAGATATTTCCATACTTACTGGTGCTACTATTTTGCCCGTCTGCCCAACCTGCATGTCATTGGGAACAAAGCCAGCATCAACTGCTGCACGAGAAGCACCAACTGGTTGAAAGAAAATATTTTCAGTATTTTCCTTTAAAATATTAGCAAGCCAACATTAGATCTTGATTAAAAAGAGTTTGTATCTTAACCAAGAGTCCTGTGTGATGGCATGTATTTGAAAACCTACTCTGTCTGTACTGCTGATTGAAGTTTCCAGTTACTAAGTGCTAATGCATTTCATAAGCAAGAGGAAATCTCTATTCCTACCATGAAAGAATTGTATATTTAAATCTGGCACACTCTCACTCTTAATTTTATCAAAAAAATATTTGCACATAAGGTCTTTCGCTTACTCTACCTATCTTCTACTGTATGTATCATCTCTCATCTCCATGGGAGCCTGATGTCAGTTATCCTAAATGAGTCACTTAAATTTGATTCCACTTTTATTTGTAGACTAAGGTGTTTAAACCAGATGTGGCTAAAAAAGCCACATATAGCTCATTAACAGCTGAAATGCATCTCTCAGAGCTCTTTTAGCCCTCCTCACTCTCCACTTACCAAATCACTGTTGGGGGGCGGAATCGGGAGGGAAAGCTTCTGCCCTGTAATGAAGTTAGAGAAGTGGTGGGCAACCTGCGGCCCACTGGGGTTCTATGTGGGGCCCACAAAATTTTGTTTATCATTGTCCACTTACAAGAGTTCCAGATTCTGCTGGTTTTCATCTGCATAGTTTTTGCTACCAGTATTACAAAAGAGACACGCACTTACAGCAAGGGCATGTGAAGTGAGGGGTGTGTTGATTGCACACAACATTCTGGGAGCAATATGCTCCCTCTGCATCCAATCAAAGCACTGCATCCAATCAGCACACCTCACAAATTGTAAGTACACAAGCGCAGTCAGAAAAACTATCCTATCCTGAGAGGCCATCTTGGTTACGACAATCTTGTGGCCCACAGAGATGGAGGGCCACTCATGCAGTCGACTCAATCTAGTCTCACTGGGTTTCCCTGCAAGGAAGAGGTTCTGCGGGTTTTAGAGCTACAGGGGAAGACACTGGGGCTTGAGGCATACCTTCTGGGACTCAGGGCTTCAGCAAGAGAGGATTTAAAACTGCACCTCAGTAGGCAATGCCTCACAGGCTAAAGCCTGGAGCCCTGACAGGTGTGTGCTGTGGCTCTTGAATTTCTGAAGATTACCATATGTGGCCTTGCATCAGTAAATTTGGTCACCCGTAGCCTAAACACTGCCTGCAAGTCAACGGATGCCCATTTACTATAAAGCCACGTTTTAAAATATTTATCTATTACTGTTACATTTGAAATGGAAAAAAAATTACTACTGCTGATAGGGTGGTAAGCAACTAGTCAACTACCTGATAAGCATAAGCTTATCAGATAGACAAGTAGTGACTTGACTAGTCGCTTCCCCCCCTCCCAGCTGCCTCTATCAGAGAGAGGCAGTGGAGCAGGTGGGGGAGCAGGAGCTGGTGCTGGGGGAAGCCAGCTTAAAAGCACCATCTCCAGGGTGTCACCTGCTTCCCCCCACTGCCTCTACCAGAGGTAGCAATGAAGGAAATAGAGGAGGCTGCTGCGAAGCAGTCCCTGTCTGTAGGGGTCCCAGCAGGTAGCTGGGCCCCCCCATGGAGGGTGGCTGCTGCCACCATATAGCCTGTTTGCAGCAGCCAGGGCTGGCCGCAGACAGGGGCTGTTGCCGGAGCAGCTCCTGGCTGCCGTGAACAGAAGCTGCTCCAGCACCAGCCCGGTTGCAGTGGACAGGGCTATCTGCCACCAACAGGGGCTGCTGGACTCAGCATGAGCCAGGACCAAGCAGTCCCGGCTCATGCGGATTCCTGCACCTTTGCATTTTAAATGTAGGAAGAGCCTACATTTATTACTTTTAAAATGAAAGCTGCAGCACAGGTGGCTTCTGGATCCAGCAGGGGCTGAGAGTGCTCAGTCCCAGCTTGAACCAGTTCCTGCAGCTACCCCTGCTGGCTCTGCAGAGCAGTCCTATCAACTAATCATAAAGTCAATACAGATTGTACCAATTATACAATTAACCTGATAACTGCATTTTAACATCCTTAATTACTAAATAAAGAGAAAATATTTTACACAGCATATATTTTGCCTCCACATTATGCATAGTTGGTGTTTCCTGTTTGTATCAGAGAGCAATGAAGGGGAAAGACTTAGAAGAAAATGACAAACCACAAAAACTGTCATAGGAGCTCTGGTACAGAGCCTAAAACTTGCCTAAAACTATTTTTAATCTAGACAATTTTTTTAAAAGTGAGTTAAGTTAAAGAGTGCCCTTTTTATGACAAGCCACCTTATCTATCCAAATAAATAATATCAGAAAGATTACAATGGCTAATAATAATCATCTGAATTTTTTAATCTTGAAAATGTATATATATATATATATATA